GTTTCGAGTAAAGTTTTGAGCTTTTGACTTCGTTTCTCCTTCCAAGTGCGTGTAAGAGTGGGTACTTAGTCTTAAGCCTCATTACTTCGTATATCTTTGTTTGCTTTTGTGCAAATTGATATTGTGTTTGAGTGTCTTGGAGGAAAAGATTGAATCTTTGGATCGTGAATGCTTGACTAAGTGTGATTAGGAGTTAAATGCTTGCTCCTTTTGTGCTAGAGTTTGGTTTAGCTACCTAGTGTTTTAGCTAGCATGACAATATTCAGTGACTCCGGCGAACCAAAATCTCTCTTTCCCCCTTAATTTCTCTCATCTTCTCTGCGTGCTTTTTCTTGTCTTGCTAATTGCCTTCAATTGCCCTCATTTCGTAGATTATTCTAGCTTTCAATCAATCCCCTTCAAGCGAGTAGCATGTTTAGGACCTTTTCGGTTGTGTAATTTGACGACTAGATAGTGAACGAAACTGCGAAGAGCATTCCTTTAAGAACAACCCGAGTCCGGGTAACTCGGTTACCAATTGCCCAAAAATACTATAAACAATATATAATAATATACATTTTTGTAAAAAAGTAATTATATTTTAAAGTATTTATTAATATTAAAAAATTAAGAATAAATTTTTTAACAAGCACCCCATGTGATACACGAATGTTGTACTAGTATCATATATTAAACAACTATATATTATAAATACAAAAAAGATAATTAACATTCGAAATTATTTTTATACTAATTAATATTTCTCCATTACTTGATATATGATTATTTATTATTATTGTCTCGTGCATCACACAACTATTGCAGTTTGAACTGCAAAGCACAATGAATGTCAAGGTTCAAGTTGGTATAAATTTTATTGGGATTTTTTTTTTTTTAACCTCCCAAACTATGCCGATTTTTAGAGTTTGCCTTACGATCTTTTTTCTTGACAATTTGCCTTACATAGAAATCGAAACTGACAAATTGAATTTTCGATTAAAAAACTCTAATACGACACAAAAAGTTTTTAACTTAATTAACATTAAATTTTAAATTGATCTTTAAAATTGATTTAAGGCTTTCAAAGTTCATGGCAATACGAACAAAATGAGGTATAGTTTGTCGATATCTGAAAATTGATACCTCTATAATTAATTGATGAAGATAGTAGGAGCACGCATGTATAGAAAAAAAATCAATTCAAGTTTTCTGATAATCATTGTATCCGATTTTCGATTAAAATATTTCATTTGATAGCTTAGAAGATAAGTTTCCTAACGAATTAAACCTTATGAAAATCCAACAGTCGAATTTTGGTTAGTAGCCTAATGAAAAGTTAACTATTGATCAGTAACTTTTTAACTACTGATCAAAATTCGGCCATCGATTTTTTATAAGATTTACGCATAAGAAAATTGGTCCTGCAAGCTTTTAAATGACACATCCCAATAAAAAAATTGGATATCTTGATTATAAGAAAACTTGAATTGAAATTTTTCTATAATGCACGTGCTCCTATTATCTTCTTCGATCGATTACAGATGTATCAATTTTCAGAAATCGACAAATCAGACCTCATTTGTTAGTTTGGCTATGTGCTTTATAAGCTCTAAATCAATTTCAAAGATCAATTTAAAATTTATCGTTAATTGAGTTAAAAAACATTTTTGTGTCATATTAAAGTTTTCAATCGAGGAGATAAATTGTCAATTACTATGAGAGACAAACTGTCAAGAAAAAAGTTCCTAAGACAAACTTTAAAAATCGGCAATTTGGGAGGTTATAATTTATTTTTTCCTAACTCTCTTTCCCTTCAAATTATTATGACTAGGTAAAAATGTGAGGTGTTAGTTACGGGGGTTGTACTGGTTAGCACCACGACTTTGGGTACAATCTTCATTAACTCAAGTGATTCTTATCTTCCTCAGCACTTCATTTCTTTAATTCTTTCCTTCGCAGTCGCGCACTCCCTGAAAATTTCACCAGTTATTTGGGTTTTTTTTTTTTTTGCCTTGCAGAAGTTAGAAATTTCAAATTTTAGAACATAGAAAGTATGGAGATTCTGCTGAAGAAGAGAGTTCAATTTCTTCTCTTTGTTGTTGGCATTATTGCTCTCAGCATCACAGGTAACCCATTTTCCACCTTTTCTAAAGGCGTTATCATTGGTTGAGTTTTTGTTTCTCGCGATGTTTGCTTCTCCTTCATGGACTTGGTTTAAGTTGTTAGATAGAAATTAATAAATAAAGCCATTTAAGCTGCGGATCATTTTTTTTTTTT